AATATCCGCTAAAAGGCTAGGGTTGAGATAAATTGGAGCCTTAGTTTAGGTGCATTCATACGTCAAAAGAGCACTTGGTAGGAGAAGCAAAGGAGAGGAAGTGAATATCCATTTTTTATCATAATACCGATCAAGAATGGGAGGGGGGAATCTCAAAAGACTGGCCATACTTCCACTTACAATGACGTAATATTAACACAACAAAAGGGACCCTATCAAATTCGGTCGACGCATTTCTTCAGTAGTACGCTATTGCCTTCTATTTACCAAAATACCTTCACAAAGCCTGATCAAACAATTCCACACCCATTGATAACATTTTATCTGATCTGAATCACCAATCCAGAAAGGTGAATACTGAAAGGGAGTGTGACATGAAATGTATATATATATATATATATATGACAAACAACTGGGTGCTCGTTATCAACCTTTTTCACTTATTTTTTTTCATCAGGAACACAGTGAAGAAATATTTCCACCAAACTGGTACTCAACAGGGATTGTATCGAAGAAGTGGTGTATATGATAGGCGGTGTAAAGGTATAACGGGATATCAATGGGCTGAAGTCGACCCCATTCCGCACGAGCTGCGTCCCCTAAAGGCGTCTTGGCTTTGAGGGCGGTGGAAAGAAGCGGATGCGCGGGGTAAGTCACTTCCGCCCACTGCTCTGCAATTGCCAGTGAGACCATAAGGGATACGAATCGTCCCTTAAAAATCGATGGCAAGCGATCGTGAAACATCTTAGAGAACACGTACAGAGGCGGCGCCACAATACAAAATGGCTGCAGCACCATTTGGTACTTCATAAAGCGATAGGATGCCCAAAACCTTCGCTCTTCGGCCGTTGACGGCAGTTCATCCTGTATGCAGATGTGCCGGCAGTTATTCATGAGAATTTTAATGTTGCGCACTTTATCACGGACATGCCGTTCGCTAGGAATGGTATCAAGCGGGACGCGGTATCGTAACCCTTCGCTGCCTTCCCAGCTCTTCGTGGTCGGGTCGTACGTGGCTGGATCATTTTTTTGGAGCATCGCCGTCACCTTAAAGGAGGTGTTCATCCCACCAAATATCAATTTGATGAAATCATCCATGAAGGCCGCAAAGACACTGACCAGGTCCAGCATTGAGGGAATGCTATCCCCTATCCCTGTTTGATAGCGTGACATGGCCGCTGCAATTCCTACCAAATGTGGATTCCTCTCTCTGAAGCATGAAATGGAAAGTGAACCAAGTTCTAAAAGAGAGAGAAGAAAAGATCTTTCAAAAGTTTCTGAATCGCTGTGCGTTTACGGACTTCCTTGTACATCTGGGAGTCTATACCAAACCTGATCCGCCTCTTTTTTGGTCATTGACTTCGATTTTGATTATACAGGTCATATATATATATATATATATATGAAACGTTCACTCTCAAATAGAGTTACAATGCATCGAAAGAATCATTTCAACAATTCAGCAATATTCAGTTCCTTGTGCGTCTACAGTGTGTAAAAATAAATGCTACAGGGTGGAAGTGTGTGCGCGCATAGGAGGAGAGGATAAAAGAGCTTCCGTTTTATTTCCAAAGTCTTTTCAAAAATCCTTGATCATCCCGGAGTGCAGTTGCATCATTTTTGTTATAGGATCGTCCGGTTCCATGGGCGTATAGTAAATTCGCCGGCCGCGAACACCGCGTAAATACCCAATACGGGGATTGTTTTCTAGAACCCAAGGCGAGCTTTTAAACCGTTCCTTCATCGTCTTGACATCGCGCAGTTTCAACGAAAAATATGAATCCGTTAATGTAGGTGGCGCGAGTTTAATGTTATCACGCGGCCGCGCAAAGGCGTAGCTGATTTCCATACGACGGGCGGCCAGCTCCGTCATGCGCAGTAGTTCATCGCGCTTCTCCTCGCAGCGCATGTCATCGCAGATTTGCGCCGCGCGCAGCATCACTGCCACGGAGTCTGGGTGTGAGTGCGCGCAGGCCTGCGCGAACTTTACGCAACCCTCAACGTACTGTAAAAAGGTATCCTGATCGGCCTCAGGGAGGGACTTAAACACCTTAATTTGCCCCAATAGCCGCATCTCACTAAAGCACTCCAGGGCTTGAAGTAGCAATTTCGCCTTGTCAAAGCCACGATCACTATCCCGCACCTTCCAGCGTTCTTTCATTATCCCCACGAGGGCGTTCAGGCGTTTCTCCGGTGGTAGGTCTTCGAGACGGTTGGTGGAGAAGAGAAACACATCATTTTTGCTGTCGTCGCGATAGACCCCAAAGTTTTCGGTCGCTTCCCGTTCGTGGCCGACCTCCATGACGAGTTCGTAATTATTCCCCCCGGTTAACCACCAATTGCGTGCGAATCGTCGCCGATCCTTAACAAGGCTTTTATAGCGAGCGTGGGGGTACTGATGGAGGTTGCGCAAGAAGCATTTCTGCTCTCGCAATGGCGAGTACATCGGAAGCAGGACGCCGGAGGAGGAGGCCAAGCCCCCGCCGATGGAAACGTGCCCAACCCCATCGCCACTGCCCCCGACCGCCACAAGGCAAGTCGTACCCAAACGCTTCATTCGTAGTGCGTGGATAGTCTTCGGGCCTGCGATCTGTCCACGCTGGCCCTTCGCACCTTTTTCTACGTCTTTTCCTCTTTTGCTTGAGTCAAAAACAACACCTGTTGAAGGAAAGTACCCCAAGCACAGGTGGCTAAACACATAACAAAGAGAGTGAAGGGAGGAGGTTGGTGTACGAAAAAATAATCATAATCATGATAATAATAAAAGAGCTTGGCATTGTAGTTATTTTCCTCAAATCGTAAACTGAATCTTAAGGGGATGATGTAAGAAAATAGAGGAATCGGCAATGGTTTTTATATGCGCATTGTACTCCATTTCAAAAATCAGCATGCAAACGACCTTTCTGTACAGCCTTTAGCACGTCATTTTGGTCGCCTCCTTTTCTCCGTAAGGGGCGCCTTTCGGTCTTCTTTTTGTTTGCATAAGAAGGTACCTTGCGCGTCCCTTCGCTGGTTGAATCAGCGGCGTCAGCGATTCGCTTCTTCACAAAGTTAGCGCGCTCCTTTGCCTTCTTAACCTGAAATCGCTTTTGATGGTAGTCATCGTTCGGTATTCGCCTTGATGACGACGACAACGAGCCTGCGTGGTGGCCTTCCGTGGGGGAATTCACAACCAGTCCTGCATCGCCAATTAGTTTGCCGTGATATCGATCCACCTCATCCTGAGAATCGCTACTATCATCCACGCTGTTGTTCATAACCACGTCGAGTTCGGTATCGTCGAGCTCATCCTCATAAATATACTCATTAAGCATTCGAATTTTATCCTTGAGATCTTCGTCGATGTTAAAGGCGATGTTTTCTGCCTGAAGGTTGCCGTCTTCCTTGCGGTAGCTGGTAACTCCAGAATAGACAGCATCCCAGTTCACATTGTTCGCCTCGTCTTCTCCGCAGTTTTGGTTCTCGCCGCCTCCCAAAAGAAATTTGTAAAGATCCCCGCCAAGGTAATGGTGGAAATCCGTCCTGCTGAGGGCCTCGTCAAAGTCCTCCTTCGTGAGAGTTGTTTGCGCGACCGTCAGCTCCGGAAGTTCGCGATCCCCCATCGGCGCCCCCACGGCCCCTTTCGGAGGAGGAGGAGGGGCCTTTAATAGGTCGATCAGGTGCGGTGGGATGTTGTTGATGCTTGCGTCGAGGATAAATTGCTCCACATCGCCGTAGAAATCAAGCGCGGTGCGAATGCCCGCCGGGCTATAGTGCGGGAATATCTCCCGAACCATCGCCACCGCGGAATCGGCGCAATCGGGGGGGCTGACATTTTCACTTTCCCAGACCTCGTTCGGCTCCGATGGTTTTGATGGGCTGTTTAAGCTGAAGCCCGCCCTCTCGGGTTCGGATTCCGGAGGCGGCCGGGAAAGAATAGCCGCAATGACATCCTTGCGAGCCCCAAGTTTCTCAGACTCGTCGATGGTTAGGAACTGCTTTTGCAGTAACTCGCCAAAGCAAACGCCTTGGTGGGTGAGCTCGAGAAGTAAAAGTTCGCCATAGCGGTGGCGGGCGTGTTCGCGGCTGAGAAGCTCCGCAAAGTCTTTGCTCCCCTGGATATCCTCCGACAGCACCAACAGCATAACTTCTCCAAATCGCAAGTCGGGATTGTCCATTTTGGTGGGCACCAATGCGTGAAAGAGGGAGGAAAGATTTTTAAAAACGCGGCAACTTCGGACAAGCTGCGCGGGAATTCCCGGCGCGTAGTGTTCGATTGCCTCCTGCAGCGCGGTGTAGGCCTTCTCAACCGGTTTGGGCAGCACCCATGCCAGATGCCCGGCAAGATCGCCAAAGTGGTGAAATAACACCAAAATAACCGAGGTGTTGAGGGCTGAATTAATTAATATCGAATTCGCCTGCGAGAGGATATCCCGAATCGGATTTAGATCTTTGCACAGCAACACAAAATGCTGGAGAAGTGGTGAGATGACATCCACCACGATGCGCAGAGCGCGCAGGACGCGTGTAATATTGATGTAATCCGCCAGAAATGGACTACAATGGACTGCAGCCCAGAGCTGCCGCACATGGCGAAAAGTCTGCTCAAAAAGAGGAAGAATATCCCCCGAAATGCGCTGAAAGCGACCTCGCTGGAGCTCTGATTTACAACGCATGGTAATCTGGTTGATCGAATCGCACCAGCTATTTATAAAAAGTGGAAGCCGGCATAAATACCCGGGGTTTAAAAGAAAAAGCGAACTCACGCACACCGACGCGGCGGACCCGTTCCGGCGAAGCAGCATCGCGGAGATGGGAAAGATGAGCGGGAGGGGAAGGATTTTATTCAGGCGCCTTGCGAGGTCCTGCACGCTCACGCGGCGCCGCGTACAGACCGCCGTAGTGGCGCCGATTCGCATAAAAATAACCCCCAAAGCGTGCTCGTTCGCCGGGCGAATGGCGCGGCGGCGCACCGGGGAGGCGGAGCTGTGGGCCACCTCGACCGCCTTGACCAAATTCGTCAGGACGCCGGATAGCGTCTCGTGGTGGGCGATAACCGTCCAAAAAGTGAGGTCGTCCGCCTCAGCCAGGAGCTGAACCCCGCGCCAGGCCTTTTCGCACACATCCGAGGAGGGGAAGAAGGCCCCCACGATGGCCCGGTCCTCATCTGGAAAGGCGTCCGTCAGCATCGGAACTACGTAACTAAGAAGACAGAAAAAACAACAACAACAACAAATAAAAGGAGAATGATGAAGTAGCAAAAGCGTGCACCCACACGGTTAACTATCAGGTGAACTGCGCTTAAGTCTTCAGAAACGAAAATTGCCTTATTTAGTACAGGTTAAGTTTTCGCGAATTGTTTACCAAATATGGCTGTATCTGTTTAATTTTCAGGTTAATTTCCTTTGAGACCAGTCATCAAAATTATTCCTCAAGATGATATCACTTTCTTTTTTCCATTGACTTTGGGTTAGATAGAGTTATGCCTTGTAATATATTTTTACAACATGCATGTAATTATAGTAAAGGGATGTATTTATAACTTAAATAAACAAAATAATAAATTCGACCATAAGAAAAAAAAAGGAAAGAAAACAAGAAGAATAAGGGGAAAAACAACAGCTATACTATATTTTTTTTAACCCACCACAGACCATTGTCATGTGGACTTTAAGTGGCCCCTAATCTTTACTCCTTCTGCATGAAAAGATCTTTATTTTTTTTGGAAAACTCATGAGTAGGAGAATCCTTACACTACTTTACGCCAACGATTTAGATTGTCCCCACCGTTGGCGCTATTATCAAGGTAGTTATTCATGTTAATTCTTCGCAATTGTTAATAGTTTACCTAATCTATTATTTGTCTGCTACTTCTGTAAAAACAAATCTAATACCTATACCTGATATGCTGCTCTCCTCTTCAATGATAATTTTGGAGTTGGATGAAATCTTGTCCATTGTCGTCCATAGCCCTTTGATGGTCTGATTGATCTGGTGCTCGCATTTAATGATCGAGTCTTTAAGATCCTCCTCATCGCAGGCGAAGTAAACGTTAATCTTGTCCGAGACGACCAATTTCGCTTTCTTACGAAGCTGCTGGACACGGTTCACAAATTCGCGAGCGCGCCACGAGTCCACCAACTCCTGATCGTCGCGCTTGTCGACCAACACGACGACGTCTTGGTCGGTGTTGCTCTCAAAGTCGACAATTCCCTCCTTGAACTTCCGCAGAATCTTCACGTCCTCCAGCGTGAGCGCGTGGCCGTCGACCTCGCCGCCCTTGTTGTGAATAAATCGGGCGATCTCCGCCGGGGGCATCGCCTGGATGGTCTTCCGAATTGGCACCATCGCATGACGTAGTCGCTTTCCGAGGACCTCGAAGTTCACGTCCAGCATCGTTTCGATGTACTCCGTCCCGGAGGACAAATTCACCTCGAAGGTGTTGACCTCCTCCTTGATATAAACCGCGACCTTTGCGACGTCCGCCAGGTAGGACGCCTCGGGATGGACAATAATGACCTGGCGGACGGGGCGTTTGATGGGAATCACCATGCGATCGCGCAGAACGCGGACGAGGTCGACAATCGTCGCCATGCGGCCCATCGCCCGCTCGAGGTCGGCATCCATCACGCGGTCGTCCTCGTCGGGGATGGAAAGATAGTGCACGGAGTCCACCTGGTACTGCGAGGGAAGGAGGGGCTTCAGGCGCTGGAAGAGAATCTCGGAGATAAACGGCACGATGTGCGCGATCACGCGCGAAACCGTAAACAACACGGAAAGCATCGTGGAAAGCGCACAGGCGCGGTCCGCGCGATCGCTGGGGTTTTTCATTCGCCGCCGATTCATCCGGACATACCACCTCGACAGGTCGATCACGAAGCGCAGGATGCCGGGGACGACGTTATAGAGGTGGTAAAGCTTCATCTCGGACCGGACGTACCGCACGAGCGTCTCCGTTGCGGCGAGGATCCAGCGATCCATCTCATTCGTGCTGTGGACATCCAAGGAGACGGTCCCGCCGGCCTCAATACAGTAGTTCGTGTTGGCTATGAAAAACTTCGTGGCGTTGAAAAGCGGAAGCAGGATATCCTTGACGACCTCTTTTACGCCCGACTCGCGAAAGCTCAGGGGCTCCGCACGGACAACAGGGGAATTGATGATAAACATCCGAAGCGCATCCGCGCCGTATTGATTGATTATAAGGGACGGTTCGGGATAGTTTTTTAAACTCTTGCTCATCTTTTTCCCATCCTCCGCAAGAACCAAGCCGGATACACAGACGTTTTTGAAAGGACAGACATCAAAAAGCGCCACGCCAAGTACCAGCATGGTGTAGAACCAACCGCGCGTTTGGTCAAGACCTTCCGCGACAAAGTCGGCTGGGAACATCTCCTTGAAAAGTTCATTATTTTCAAAGGGAAAGTGCTCCTGGGCGTACGGCATTGATCCGGACTCGAACCAGCAATCAAACACCATCGGGACCCGCCGCAGCGGTTTTACACCCGGGCGTTTACTAGGAATCGTAATCTCGTCCACAAAGTGGCGATGAATATCATGGATGCCGGTCCTGCCGGAAAGTTCCTCGAGCTCCGCGATGCTGGAGATCACCACCACCTCCTTCCAGTCCTCGCTATGCCAAATCGGCAGCGGGGTACCCCAGTAGCGATTGCGTGAGATATTCCAGTCGCGGGCGTCCTCGAGCCAGTTCGCAAAGCGCCGCGTCTTGACGAAATCCGGCACCCAATAGGTCGAATCAATAGCCCCTAGCAAGCGATCCCGGATCGATTTGACTTTAACAAAAAAGGAATCGACCGCCTTGTATAAAAGCGGCGTTTCGCTACGCCAGCAGAAGGGGTAGCTATGAACGATGGAGCCTTTGTTAAAGACATGACCTTTGGCCTCCAGTGCCTTGATGATATCCGCATCGCAGTCCTTCACGTAGCGTCCGGCGTAATCGGTGACCTCTTGGGTGAAAAATCCGTTTTCGTCGACTGGGCAGACGAGCTCCCCGTCTTCTTGAATAATCCCATACTCAAGGCAGGCGTTGTAGTCGTCCTCGCCAAAGCCAGGGGCCTGGTGGACGATGCCCGTCCCGCTGTCAGTCGTCACGTACGCAGCCGAGACGACGCGGAAGGCCCGATCTTCGAATTTGGTACTGAAATAGGGAAAGAGAGGGTGGTACTTCCTCCCAACAAGTTCCTTTCCCTTGATCGTCTCCAATACCTTATACGGCTCCGCGTCGGCGTCCCCGACTTCCGCGCCCTCCGCCTTCTTTTTTGTACTCTTTGGCTTGGGGTAGAGCCCTTTCAGCAACGCCTCGGCGACGTAATAGTGGCGGCCTGACTTTTGGTCCAAAAACTTTACGTAGTCGACCTCTTCGTGGACGCACAGGGTGAGGTTGCTTGGGAGCGTCCACGGCGTCGTCGTCCACGCCAAAAAGTACGTGTTGGCGTCGTCTTTCGATTGAAAGGCGATCGTAATACAGCAGTCGTTGACATCCTTGTAGTTCAAGTTCGCCTCGAAGTTGCTCAGGGGCGTTGTGCAGCCCGTGGAAAAGGGCATTACACGGAAGCCCCGGTAGATCAGGCCTTTTTTCCACAGCTCCGAGAAGACCCACCAGACGCTCTCCATGTAGGATCGATTCATGGTCTTGTAGTCGTTGTCAAAGTCGATCCAGCGGCCGGTGCGGATCACGGTGGAGCGCCACTCCGAGGAATGCCGCATTACGATCTTGCGGCACTCCTCGTTGTAGTTGGCAATGCCAAACTTCAGGACGTCATGCGAGGTTTTGATGCCCAGCTTCTTATCAATCTCAAATTCGACGGGCAGGCCGTGGCAATCCCAGCCAAAACGCGGGTAAACGCGGTAGCCGGTCTGGTTGGCGAATCGCACCACCATATCCTTGATGGTTCCGGCTAGAATATGGCCGTAGTGCGGAAGACCGGTGGCGAAAGGCGGGCCATCATAAAATGAAAACCGCTTACGACCCTCCGAACGTTTCAACCACTGGTGAAAGCAGTCCTTCTCTTCCCACATCTTTATCACATCCTCCTCCATTTTGGGGAAGTTGAACTCATCCTCAAAATTTTCAAGCTTCATGGTTGTCGACATAGTATGTTTTATGTCCACTTGTCTTTGATCTATTTTTGCCAAAAACAAACTGGAGGAAAAAGAAACGAAACCATGAGTGAGTATGTGCCTTTCTGTCAGAAAAGAACTGTTAGTTTTACCACCAGTTCTTTTCAGTCTCCAGACTGTTGTTTTAAGTGTATCAGTCACACGATACTGGGCGATATGGCTAAATTCAAACATAATGTTCTCTTGATGATTCTGCTTTAAAGTGAAAGAGAAAGATCAGTTAACAGGATAACTATTAAACCTCTTGATATCAAAGGCAATCAGTTTACCTCCCCTCCCCCCTTAATTTCTATACACGTATCCATTCCGCTTTAACTAGTCCCATCTTCAGATCATCGGACGCTTTTTCTCAAAGTATGAAATAGTAGCCGTCAGCTGATATTGTAGATCCTTAATATTGTCTCTGTCTGTAGAAAAAAGAAAAAGCGTCTCAAAGCGCACATCGCGAGAGTTAAGCAAAGTGTAGAATATACACACTTCATTAGGTCACGTGTGTACGTCGCATACCAGTATACAAATGGGGGGTGGGATTTAGGTGTAAATAGATCACTTTTAGAAATGGGTGTACCACTATACTATCCTTCACTTTCACCAACTCTGTGTATAGCATATCAATTCCAGAGAGCCAGCTTATGGGCAACCAAAGGTTGCGCGATGCAGAGAAAACGGCACACCGACATGAAAATAAATCATACCAAGTGGTGTAAGTATCTCAACACACATAAAATAGTGAAAAAGAGAAGATATATCGAACTATCACTTTTTTTTGAAAACTAAATCTTTTGGCGTATTGGAAATGGAATTTTCCTCACAAAACCCTCCAAGAAATCCCTTTGGTTGAATTTTATTCTCAGATCGTTTGTTTCCTACAACAGCTGCATGACACTCGTCAAAATGGCTGTCATTTGCTCTTTTGCTAATTGAACCGATTCGATAGAAATTAGTAACGTTTTGTCTAAGTTGGGCTGTACCTTCAGGCGGCTTTGTCCTCCAGACCGCCAAACCCCAGAGGTTTCTCTTCATGTTCGGTAAACCTCCTTCCTAACACACAGTTACCATAAATGTGTAATATAGAATCTTGAATTATCACAAAAGTAGAGGCAAGAAAAAAGGAAATACTAAAATACATAGACAATGAACTGTTGTGTGTAGAATTTCAGTAAGAAGTAGTGGTGGTGCTCTCCAGATGGTCAATCCAGCATGAAATATCAAATAACATCTTTTTTTATCTTGTAATATTGTTAGGACTTAGGGTGGGACAACTGAAAACACATCAAAATTTCTGATTTTAATTTCATAATTTCGAATTCTTACTGGCATATATATATGCTTACGTCTTCACATACTACAAAATAGTTGATCTGATCAGAAATTTTCAAACTTAGTGGTTGGATTAGAGTCTTTACATGGGCTGCAGACGGCACCAATGTCATCGTTCCACCATTCAGGTGGTCGCTCTTCGCATATCGAACAGGGCTCAAAGGTGTTCGTTTTCGGAGCACGAACCAACCGCGGTGCCACTTTTTTATCATACACCTGAGAGCGAATCAGATCGATGTTCGCGATATCGTCACCGAGATCAATCTGTGGGGCACGCTGTAGAATCGCCTGCACATCGTTTCGGTCCGCTACGTTGCGGTCGAGCCGCATAATCTCGTACAACGTGTTCGCCTCTACGGAGCTTTTGATAGAAAGAATTGCATCGTGGTAGTGCTCAACAATGGCAAGGCAGAAGCCAATGAGATACCGTAGACCTTCAGCCATGAAGGCGTCCAGGAAATCGAAAAGATCGTTGAAGGACAACACATGGACGCACAACCCCGTGAGGATCTTCTGCAAATAGGTGTCCGGCCACAGGTTGAGCGAATCCAAGTGTTTCGCGACGTCTTCAAACTTCTGCCGCATAAAGTGCTCCACCACCCACGCACTCGTGGCGAACCCAACCGCCTCGCTCGCCCAATGGCCTTTAATGTACTCCGTGGAGACGAAACGGATTATACTGGCGGCCTCCTCCTCGTTCATTGTGAGCATGCAGAGCGCCGAGAGGTAGCTCATAGCCTGGCCGTACGCCTTGAACTCGTGGTTCATGGCGTGCAGAAACATCACCAGCTTTGTGCGGTGCTCAGGGTAGAAAAACGTGCGGTCGGCGTCCTTAATAATCACCCGCACGATCTCTTCATCCTCGTCGTCGATCGCAAGGTACTTGATCGGCTTGCGGTAGAAATCGGTGCGCTGAAGCCACTTTTCCATGCGGGTCCGCAGCGTGTCCCTGTTTGCCTCGATAAAGCCGTTATTGCAGTTGAACAGTGGTGCCTGTTTGAGCACTTCCTCCTCCCAGAACATTGAAGAGTCGAAAAAGGGCCCCGTGAAGTGCGTCGCGGGGATTTCCACAGGTTCTTTGGGGGGAGGTAGGGCGTGCTCCACCGCACTGCTCGGCGCCGACGCCTTGGGGGGCTTTCCAGACCCCGTGAAACTGCTCGGCATGGGCTTCGCCGTCGCCTCGCCCGTGGGCTTCCCAAACCCAAAGACGTTCGGCATGGACGCCGCCGCCGGCTCGCCCGTGGGTTTCCCAAACCCAAAGACGTTCGGCATGGACGCCGCCGCCGGCTCGCCCGTGGGTTTCCCAAACCCAAAGGCAAACGGATTGCTCGTCGCCGGCGTCTTTTCGGCCGGAGGGGAGGAAACGATGCCCGCCGCGAAGGAGCCGACCGTTGTGAACGGGTTCGCCGTCTTCGTCTCCGGCGGCGCCTCCTCGGCGTAGCGCCTCCACACCTCCTCGTTCGCCAACCCCGTCCTCGCCTTCAGCTCTCGGGCGTGTTGGTAAATGGCGCGAAGTTCGCTGTTGATAGCCTGCACGTTCGGTCCCCCGCCCTCGGCCTTCGCAAAGTAGCGGCTGGGGAGGTCAGGGTAGCTCTGCGCGAAGGAGGCCAGGGCCGCGGGGTAATTCCCAAAGGCCGCAAAGCACTCTCGGGCGATTGGCTCGGTGAGGCCGGTGATTTGCTGGAAGTCCTGGACGTTCTTCTTTCGCGAGGTGGACATCAGAAGGAAGGGGAGGGAGGGGGGGGGTCCGCAGGGTCTGTGGGATTCGCGTTGGATGGGTGTGACGACTTGGTAGGTCGTGCACGAGAGTTAAAAGAATCGAATCGAAAGAATTCCCCTTCTTTGGGGTGTCGCCGTACGGTGTGGATTGTGATAGAATACGAAGAATGGGTACGAAAGGGTAAGGGGAAAGGGAATTCAATGACAACTAATAAGAATAATAATAATAACAATAATAAACAACAGAAACAACAGTGATAAATGAAGTCCACTCTATTTTAAATTAGTTTATCAAACTTGACGCAAACATGTGGAGATAGGGGCTCATTGGGGGAAAAGACAGCTGTTCCGAGTTCCACAAATAAAACTGAAACGCAAAAAGGGGGAGAAAACGACATAATTCGCGTCCTCCTCTTTTCCTCATAGTTCCTCTCTTCTAATCAAAAGGTATAATAACAATAAAGACGACTTCGACTTAACACTTTTCCATATCGTGCTCGTCAAATTAGTGTTTTTTAGTTAGACATTCCATGAAGCTGTCAAGTGCAAGAGGCCATGAGTCGCTTATGTTGTACGTTTCATACGATTCAAGGTTAGCAAAATGAATTAGTTGATGCCACAGATCGGCAGAAATCTTGAAATTATTAGTGAAGTCTTCGGTCTCTATAAATGCAATCCAAGTTCGAAGGTCATGGAAGCACACGTAGTGCTTGTAGAATTCACATTCCATAGAAGGATTGTCTTCGGTGAAGAAAAGCTCCCACAACTCCGTCGCGACGGTAGTGCGGTCTGAGGCTCGATTGTTCTTTAGACACCACATGTACAGGAAATTGTAGAATTTATTGAGCTCAACCTTTTCACGCAAAATTTCATGATGAGTCTTTTTTACAACATTTTGAAGCGCCCTAAAGGCATCTGCATATCCATTCTCTGGAGAGACTTTATCATTGGGTGAGAGAGCCTGAGAAAGTCCAGAGACAAAACATGCCTCTGAAATATGGTAGGGTAGTGCACTGGAGCATTTAAAATAAAACGCTAGAACGTAAAAAGATAGGTCATCTAATCTAAGGCCAATCTTTTTGGCTAAAAGATCAAAATGTGCTATCCCGAGCTGTCGATTATACGCTGTGGCGTTACCTTCTAGGGAACCAGCATTTAAAATGTACTCAAAAACCTCGCTACTAATTTTACAATTGGTTTGATAGTCATTCTGCGACATTATGGTGTCTCTAAAAATCTATCCCTAGGAAAGGATTAATATCTTGTTTTTCTTTCCTCTTTTCTACTTTCCTTGAATAAAAGAATACAGAAAAGAGGCTGCGCAGTATTTGGCCTCATCAAATGCGTTCCATATTGAAGCCCCCCTCAATTTTCCTCTTCCTCTAAAAAATACAATAAAAGACGCATCGAGATTAATGTGACGTTTGTATTACTAACGCAAACACTTCAAGCAAGAGTGATTGATAGACTTGTGGGTTCCCATTTCCACAATGTCCTTCGTTTTTGCTCATTTATCGTTTACCGGTTCGTGATATAACGCATTCGACTAGGGTCTGTCCGCAGCACACAGTCGCACACGGTGTGAATATTACACTTCCGACCCCCTGTTTGTACCCACCGTCCGCCCTTCTTCTGCCTCACTTCAAAGCTAACATCACGAGAGTTAATCATTCGCAAGTCGCCTTTTTTATGCTTTAACTTTCCCTTTTTGGTTAACACACGAGGCCTTTCAGACTTGGGAAGCTTTCGCTTGTGTTTGGGGGTCTTTTTGGTACGTTTACCCATCGTTTTATATATATTGAGTGACTTGTAAAGCCCAATATAGATTCAATGCGAGGATCTCGTAAGATAGGGAATAAAAACAAAGAATGGGTAAGGTAAATTGAGTAAATGAAAACCTGGTATATCATTAACAGGGACATATATACACACACACATACACAAAAGATTGTTAATAGAAATTATCTTTGTAATTCATAGTATAACTAAAAACAAAAAAATAGAAATGAAACAAGTATAATGTTTTCAATATATTTTGAACCTTTCCTCTCACCCACAAAGCCCTACCTTCTTTAGTTTTGATCAAGGCAAAACTGGGTGATTCCCATTGTTTTCATGCCCCGAGACTTTTGATGAGAGCGTGATACTGCTCTAACTGTGCGTTGTTTAGCTCACCCAGGCGGCTTCGAAGGCAATTAACCAAATCGTAAAGCAAATTGTGAGACTTCCCAAAAGATTTTATTTGCTGTAAAGCCTTTATGGTGTTTATAAGTTCGTCAATGTTCATTTCTGAGCCGTTGATATCCAGAAAACTGTACGACAACTCCAGGGGACATTTTTCATTTGCCCTGGTCATAATAGACGGCGGCGAGTTGTCCAGTTGGTTGGAGTCTAAACGCTCCGTAATACCCATAATGTGCTCCTTCGAGGACAACGACCACGACTTCAGGATGGCATCCACAGGATTTTTATCTTTCATGATCTTTTCGACTACGGGAATGCACGGATGATCCACCACACCGCAGTACTGAAGCGCACGCATTACCTGCACCCCGTCTTCTAGTTTAATTTCCCTTAGTTTATCAATGGTTTTCTGAAGTGTGGAGACTACCCTCGAGGTCCATGAGTTCCGCAGATCCTCGGGTATCTCTTCAAAAGGAACGCCCCCGATGCCATACAAGAGCTTACAGCTCTCTTTTGTAGAAAAAGAATTGACGCTGTAATGGGATTGGCGCGCCGTCATGAGCATGAATTTGTGGTGCTTGATATTCAAACACGCCAAGGCGTGGGCGACATTGACGAACCACAAGGGCGGCAATTTGTACGACGTGTAATTCGCCTGTAAACCGCTCGACATGGGATCCAAAGAGGGGGTTTTGTTGGGTAAATGCCGCCGCGGCTGTGATCGAAGGGCATGCAGAAAAATCCCATCCAGCACCGAGCGCGGCGTCGAGGGCGGGAGCTGCAGCATCGCCAGACCTTGGATGTGGCGTAGGACACTGTTTGCATTGCATTTGGTGGCGTTCATAAGATCGGAAAAAAACCTCAGATGGATATGGCGATGCTGAAGAACCCCAAGATTGTAAATGATCTCAGATATCTGGGAATTCGATACCAAGGTATGGTAAGAATGGAGGACATCACAACTTTTATTGCACACCTCCTCATCATACAAACCAATCTCCGCCAGTGTGCTGATGGACATCGCGGCGTCGATGTGGTTGAATTGCATACTTCGTAAGTGAATTAAAAGTTCGCGTGCACCTACACAACGCTGCAACTTGGCCTCCATATCGATTTTATTTTTCATCGGCAGAAGGCTAATCATATCTGTGTTGGAAGAATGAAAGTTGAAGTTTCGGGCAAATATCAGACTTGTGGCATGGATGAGTGTGATAACGGTTATCGTGTAGGCATTTGCGCAGTCGTTATACCACTTGTCCATCGAAGCTTCGTGCGCCGAGCGCAGCAATACTCCATAGTTCATGATACATTGAATTGATGATTCAGGACCGATATGGCTGATGTTCAATTCGTTTTCACATTTATCCAATGCAATGATAGATCGCAACACCGAGGTGGACTCATTAACATCCCCAAGACGGTTCATGATGTAAGATTTGGCGACGCGGTGGGTAATATCTAGTGCTTCAAGGGCTGGTAACGCCATAGAAGGAGATATGTGTCTGAAAATCGAAGCGCAGCTTCGTAAAAACGGCACTATAAAGGGCATATTTTTTTTATCTGGTTCGATTAAATATGAATTTCCGCGTATAAGCCGAACAGCTTCCATGCCTACCGCCGCAGGTGCCTTTAGTCTTTGAAGGATTTGAATCTGCATGCGTGAAAGCTCATTGGATAGTGACTCAAACGTTAGGGATTCCATTTGGAAATTTCGTTAAGAGATAATAACTGCACCTATAACTTTCGAAAGAAATAATGAAGGTGCAGATTTCCATAGAGGATTTTTTGTGCTTTTCTGAACAGCAAAGCTAAAAATGATGTTAAAGGTTTCGGAAAAAATAATAATTAAAAAGTCTATGCAGAAATATGAAGCACATCAGTAGAATAATAATAATAATATCAAGCCATTAAGCATAAGCACTGAGACGCAATAAAGACCCCTACAGTTTCTGACTTTCTATTTTCTAAATTTATGTAGATGACGAATGCAAAGTTTTAGCAAAAAAAAACAAGCGGCATGCGCTATTGTTTCCGTAGCCTTTCACAAGTAAAGTCTAGGACCCCTTGTTCTCGGTTCCTGGGCTCCACCGTGTCCGTGGAATGGAAGGTAATGAGGGTGATTCAAGCCGCGGACTGTGGTTCAGGGATTCAAAACCGAAGTCGTAGTCCCCTGGAAGGCTGTTCGCGCTTATGCCGATCTGTCCATAACCCGAGAACTGGAGGGAGGACCTCGACGGATTAAGCGAGTTCTCCAGGACTGGTGTGTGTGATCCAGTGTTGTTTCTCTCCGCGGCGGCGCAACTGTTGGCCTCGCGCAGTTGGGTCTGAACGAGCTGTGGAGGTATGGCTCCCCCCCTATCTTGGGCTTGCCCCTCGCGGGCCCGAACGGAGACCTCGTCCGTGAGCTCAGACAGCGAGGTCGACGTATCCCCCCCCTGTCGCCGGATGAACTCGAGGACGCTGGGCCGTAGCTGCTGCGCGTGGATCCCTGTGGAGGTTGTCGTGCCGAACTTCATCCCTTTCTCGGACGATCGCCTCCCCTGCCCTGGGGGATCAGAGCGCACGCCAAACGCGCCTTTTAACGCGTCCAAGTCGTCTTCCGAGGTGCTGTCCTCGCTGAGCTCGGCCACCGCAATCGCAGGATTCGGCAACACCGGCTTGGAGTCTTCCAGGGCGCCCGACACGATCGGTGGCCTCGATGCCGCCTGTTCCGTGGAGGAACTCTCGGAGGTCTGCGATAGATGCTGTAACAGGTGCATGCTGTTGGCGGGACGGGACCTTTCTGTTTCGGTTGCAAGTCCCAGTGCGCCCGCCTTGGAACTCAGCGAAAGCGATTGATCCGGCTTAGGCAGCGGGGAGGCCCCCTCCTGCTGGGCCACCACCCGGCCCTCCCTCGCGTTGATGACGTGACGAGGCCCCGACGCGTTCAGTGGGGCCGGGGCGGTGCGGGAGGAGGCGTCGCAATCGGTACGCGCATGGTCGGCCTGGGTGGCCGCCCCCGGCGACGGAATGCGGGTAGGCTTCGGCGCCGCCGGTGCCCTCGTCACGGGCTCCGTCATCGGAGACGCACTCAACTCTACCACCGCGTTGGAAGGGGGAAGGGGGAGCGGGCTGGGCTCCACCACCGGCCCCAGAGGGGCCGCGCGGTCTTTGGTATCATGGCGCACCGCGTGTGGGACGTTTTTACTGACATCGAGCGAGGGTCGAGGTTTAGACGCGGCTAAACAGGAAGAGGAGGAGGAATATGGATCGGAAGAAAGGGATAAAGAATGCTCCCCATGTCGTCGAGGGGGAGCGTGCTTGTTCATCCTACGCTTTAACCTTTTGGGATCTTTATGGTGCGATTTAATGATTTTTTCAGTGTCCAAATCTGGATTTGAGGAATAGTTCTCGTGGAGCGCACTGAGCATGCTTAAAAGTTTGAGAGTACAACCCTCAATCTGCGTTTGCAGAGTACGTGAACTATTCCTTCTTTCTTTGACCGTAGTAGTACAAGACATAGGTTGTGGAGCATAGTCGTTTAATAACGCGGAAGTTGGAGTTGGAGTTTGGGCAGGGGCAGATTGCCTATACGGCACCTCGATCCCATCGCGATAGATTATGGCGGCGCCCTCCCCCAAAGGTGGCTCGCTGAACTTGGTGATGCGGTGCACCATTTGCCGCAGTCGTGTGACCTCTTCATTGAGGGCCTCCACTTCGTGCTCTAATACTTCCATATACATTTTGTCACTTGTACTATATGGTTACTCTATATCTTTCCAATCTGATAAACAAATTAATTAATCTGTTTTGTTTTCTATATTTTCCTGGAAAAGAGAATCCCTGGTAAGCTAGGAGTCTATATTTGTGAAAGTGCAAGTAGGCAACTTCCCAAAGAGCGTAACTGCATTAAAAAAAAAATGAAGAGTAGAAATTACGGAGACTAGTTGTTTTTTATCCAAGATCTGCTAATTAATCTTGTACATCTTACCTTTCAAATTTGTCTCAATTTTTTTTTCCTTATATATTAGATATTACTAATTGGAAGATTTAATTAGGCGGCTTCATAACAATAATGATATTAAAAAAAAAAACATTAGTTAAACGCTGATGTTAGACGCTTGTGTTGTTTCTTCATGATAACCTTCTGAAGTTGCGACGCAAAATTCTCGCAGCACTGCTGTCGCATAACTTCCCGAAGGGAGCAAAAAATTTGCCATTAGTACTTGATACTCAGTCTGTGAATCAAGTGCTGCTTCGTCGAGGTAAGGAGAGTTTTCTAGCTTTTGATCCACTGATGCAGACTTGATATCTGCCGCTTCTGTTCCTTTATTGTGTAAAAGATTCACCTTCAGCTGTTCCCAGTCGGTCGAAATGACGCGTTGTAGCCAATTCGAGACGACGGTGCGGGATAGATTCAACCGCTGTGGTCGTACACTTATTGCACGATAGGTCCCGTAGTAGTGGAAAATTTTTACCAGCGGATTAGAAGTTGTGTGGTCAAGAAAAGCCGCCTCCACACCTAAGGCTTCCATATGGAGTCGATAATCTTCTTTCGTGCAGCCGTGAGACTCTGGGTAGCGCAATTCCACGTCAGGCCCTGGGATCGGAAGAAGAACATCGCTCAAGTCGAACCGTGAAAGGTCGTCTTTCTCTGAGAGCAGCTGAACCGCCGGTAATTTTTCGTCGGATGAGTCGGATCCGTCAGTATTCGCTTCACCCCTTGAATGCTCTCCCGCATGCTCACAATCCGCCTCTGCACCCATCTTAGCCCTATAAACCGATGCTAGAACCATATCTCCTACCTCAGGGCATGCGCGGGTCTCATCCGAAAGGCGTTGAGACACCATGAAATTCCAAATAAGACTCTGTGCTGCGTGAAAATACAGCATCCCGAGTGTGCGTGGAATAACCTGCAGCATGCCCATGTAATCGTTCGGATGGTTCGACAGGTGCTTCAATATATCACGTTCCTGTAAACAATAGTGGGGCAGTTTTTCTAGAGCACCCTTGTAGTCTTGAGAGCGTACAAGAGTAACAACTTCGTGGATCTGAGGGTCGATGCTCGCTCGCGATTCGAAGATCGCCTCGGTCGCCTTTTTGTACTGGCCTCGCAGCAGCATGAGGCCAAGATCGCTCGTGAGGACCTCGGTTGTGCCGAATCGTTGCGGCCCAAAGTAGTTAATCACGCCTTTTTTTTCCAAGGTTGCCTTCACAATTGCTAAGTGCTCATCACTAATTTTTGGCGAGCAGGGATGAACACGGAGTGTGATTTGGAAGTAGTTCCCATAGGCCTCGCCAAGTTTCAGTCCTGTGTTTTCTTCTTTGAAGCTGCCAACTTTCACCACAGACCGCGGCCCAAATGATAGCTTGTTTACGCTTGAAAGCTTATCCGGTTCGATATCGCGAATCGCCATGCGCTGCACCGTAACCGCGCGCTTGTCTTTTGTTCCGCAGTACTGAAATTGGCGCGTGGAGAGGTGGAGGTACTTGGCCATGGTGCGCAAGGCATGCGCGCTATCAATATTTTCCTTATACAAGGTGAAATGAAGAAAAGGACGGGTCTTGAGCGGTCGTGAGCGTCGATTCTCCTCACGCCGCTCTTCGTTTGTGGCCTTGAGAATTGCAATAATACCCCCTTGTGTGGTGCTCACGTGGGTAGAGCCAAGGGTTGCTTTGACGACTTGATGAATGATGGTTCGATTGGCCTTGTCTGCGGTGGTATTACTTAGCAAAACCTTTCGTTCACCTTGCTGAAGGCCGGCCAAAAGCCTGTCGAGGTCCACCTGCGAAATAAGACTAGTCAAACCTTCTTTTACGCTGCGAAGTACCTCTTCGCTCGGTATGAGTTCTCGACGCGGCCGCTTTTCAGGCTTGGGTTCACACAAATCTCTATTAGAGCTAGACGGGGAAAGTGAAACGAGATTCAAAGGTTCACCATCGTTAAATCCGGGGTAAACTTCACGGACTATAAAATCAGAGTAAAGCGTCTTATAGGAAACAAAGGGCTTCACCGACATCAGGCTTTTTGTCTCTGGTAAGAGATTTAGAAGAGAACGATGCATTCCTATCTTCTCTTCTCTCTCAATCAGACGCTTAACGTATGGAACGGCATCGCATTCGGACGTAAACATGAGTTTTATTTGTATAGGTGTAATATTGCTACCATATAATGAACTAAAGAAAGAAGAAGAAGCGTTTATTAGCATTAAAAAAAAAAATCTCGACGACATTGTGCACTCCGGAACTAAAAAACATTGTTAACCCTCTGGAAAATGAGAACTGAAGGTAGCATAATAATATTTTTGATTAGAGGAAAAAAATAACAATGAAAGGAAATATATATATAAACACGCACCTATTCCATCCGAAGCTTTTCTTTCCTTCCCTTTTTTTCTCTCTCTCTTTCTCATGCAAACGAGTAATATAAATAGCAGAGATCAAGCTTTTATTGAAAACTCCTACGTAAAAACTCTACGATTTTGGGTAGCTCTGTCATAATAGCTTGTCCTTCTTCGGAAAAGGCCGATTTCCCTTCGTTGGCCAGCTGAACAAGAAGAAAAATCAACTCCATTAGAGAATTCCTAGATTCATTCCCCGTAGTAGACATGAGACGGTCGTGCACAGAAGCATCGATTTCCTTCTGTTCATCCACCGTGACCCATCCATCCCCACCGACCATGTAGGCCAAAGGGATGTCGTGGTGTTCGATACTGAAGTCAAGTTCACTATCATCCCACTCTGATTGAAGCCAACGTTTACAGTTTGGTGTGAGGACGGCGTTTAGTTGCCTATATTTCTCTGCTATAGCCTCATATCGCACTTTCGCTGTGTCTACCTGCGTTGTCCAGTATTGAATGCAAGACCGGATTATCGCGCGCGCGTTGCTCGCGGCCACACGCGAGAGCATAATTTTATCGCCAATGTAGAGTAATCTCAGCTGGATCTGCTCTCCTGGGAAAATATTTTTGATTTGGTAGTCCAGAAATATAAGCTCAGGAAGCTCGGGTACGTGGTTGATTAACCCCAATACGGTACACAACTTCCGCAGAAGTCGACAAATATCATCACACCGTTGGGGGTTCTCAAAAATCCCTTCTTCACCGCTGTTCGGGATGATACAATGGAGTAAGAATGAACGAGCAAACGTACTGCGCGCGCGAAGAAACATGGGGTACCCGCCGCCGTGGTGAAAATACAGGGCATCATAGCGGTCGGGAATTCGCGCGTTGTGCTTTCCGTCCAAGGAAGTTTCCCCTGAGGATGATGAGGTTGGGACGTTCAGCAGAGTCGTTGGCGTAAGCGTAAAACATTCCACCGGGTCGCCAAAAAGTTCCACCCATGGGACGATGAGTTTCCGCTTCGACATGGAATCGGGGAGGATCTCGATCAGGTTACTTCCCAGATCTATCAAAAAAAAAAGCGTGCTTACAAAAGCATTCGCCTGCTCCAAACGAAATTGCAGCAGTTGAGTGTTCACGCACAGGCATTGCATTAAGATCTTAAGCTGAAGACGGAGACTAGCTGGAATTGTGGGAAAGACAAACACGTCATCTTCCGCAAGGCATGTCGAGATGTGCTTCACCAAAGAAACCCATTTGGATTCATCTGTGCGGGTGAGCACTGCGTCGGAAATGTGCATCGTCAACTGTGAAAGCGCAAGCGCGGAGGATAGAAAATCTCGATTGGATCGACTTCCTTTTAACCAAAAAGTGAAAGCGTCCCGCGGTGTTTGAAAGGTGGGGGATTTGATTGCTGTAGCAGTCAGAGCAAAAAGTTCCCCACCATTCGGCACCACTTGCTCGTTCCAAAAAGGGAGGGTTGCTTCTTTAAAGGGGCGAAGGATGTTCTCCTGAAGACAATTCACAGCTGTCATAAGCACACAGCACTGATGAACCAACCGCCACCTTTGCTCAACTGAAGTTTTCAATCCCAACTCATTGGCATCCACACTAGCGACAAGACCCCATTCTTTCTGTAAAGGTTCAAGAAGTAATTTTTGGAAGACTTCCGGATGCCAAGTCTCATTTTCTATCCATGGATATTTAACCTCAAAGCAACTCTCGAGCCCCGCCGTTGAAGTTGCCTCTTCCTTGAAGAGCGCTTTGTATCTGATAAGCGGTGAAAAACTGACTAGAGTGTAGAGACGACTTCTACGCACTATTTCGGGAGCATCGCTGCGATCGATGAGAGATGCCATTAGATGAACATCTGCTATGGGCATGTGTTGGTGGAGAAGAAAAGTCTCAAATGTGTCCGCTTGTCGGTGTTTTGTGCGTGGGAGTAAGTATGCCATGCGCAATCCAACTCTAAAGGACCCTATTGAGTACTTGGAGGTATTGGTTTCTTTAGCTTTGTCCTCTTTAGGCATATTTTGAGAGGCCATTATCCAGAGCTGGAGAAGCTGTGCAATAGATGGGTACCAGAAGGTGGAATGTTTGGCACATTTTCGATTAGGATCGCTATGCTCTCGAGCAACACAGCACGTTAATATTGCAAAAAGTGCACCTTCGGTTTTTCGTAATACTTCTAGTCGCTGTGGAGAGGACTCTGGTGCGGTGTTCCGCACTTGTAGAGAAATCAGTACTCGCTCAATGGCAGAAATAAACGCATCTTCTGGAAATATGTTCATGACGGTACACAGTGCACCCAGGTTTGTTCGATGTATGAACCCCGCCACATCCTCACTTCCGTTCTCAGCCACACACGCTATGATCATATAGGCCAAATCACAAAGATTGAACCCCATGTCTGAAAGCTCGGGCAGACACTTGTGGAAGGCATTCACACCATGTTTGCCAAACACAAGACATGAAAGGTCGTAGAAAATGTTGAGGCTAGTGTCGGCATCTTCTGCACCGATAACTTCCTCTCTTAGAAATTCAATTTGATTCCCACCACAAAAAAAGCATTTTAAGAAGTCATTGATGACGATCAACTTCCCTGTATATAGTTGTTGCGGTTCTTCTTTATCGCTGTGAGCGGGTGCTTGTGAAATTTTCCGTAAAACCGTATGCCAGTCTTTTTGGAGAACTTTTACTAACAATGGATATGACGGTGCTAGGCGACTGCACGCGGTTCGTACACTTCGAGACCAAAAACGTCTGGCTATCGGATTTTGGATTGACAAGGTGCATTGCCAAATGGATTTATCGAAGGATTCCATTTGGAAAAAACTAGGGTCACATATCGTGCTTGAGTTTTGAGAAGATTGCCCCACAAGGCAGCTGCAGCTCGCCAAACGTGCATACTTGTCAATGAGGACCATGCGCAACCTTAGAAAATGAAGACATTGTGCGGCTGATATTTCCTTCGGGACGCCCTCCACGTTGTGTGGCTCCCGTTGAATCACGCGTAGTTCCGTTGAGCGAGGTGCCCAGAGACGCTCAATCGTGTTGCATATCGACAAAAGCTTTTGCTTGAAGGTGTGGAAAGCCTCCATATTTACCCCCACGGCCTTGCCTAGGGTCTGCGGATCCGCCGATGCCAACGCTGCCGGAAAGACCGACCATCGCGGGAGCTCGAGCTTCGTGGCGAGCGCGAGAAACTCCTCCGGGGTGTAGCCGAAGCGCTGTGTGGTGGGCAGCCCTTCGCCTCCGCGGCTCCGCGCCGCCTCGTTAAACCCCCCTGGCCCTGTCGCCCCC